CGAGCGGACAAGGGAATAATGCACAAGCAGGCAAATGGGAACGTGTGACTCATGCAGGCGGCATGCCAAGCAAACATGAAAGAAAATCTGAAGAGGAAATTTGCTCACTTTGGCATCCAGCAAGCGAGCACAAAGCGCAATCAACGCCTATGAGGGGCGTGTGTACGCCGCGAGGAGCCCTGCTTTGGGGCGGACTTGGCAGCCCCAATGATTACATCCTGCTGCGCAACGGGCGGAAGAAGCTCGTGCGCTCCTTGCAGGGCGGAGAGCGGCTGACCAAGCTGGGCAAGGGCTTCTTCCGCGACAAGTTCTAGCCGGGCGGCGCAGCGGCCGGCGGAAGCACCTCACGGAGGAGCAGGTGGCGCAGCGGGTCAGGCAGCAAGTCGAGGCCTCGCTTGCTCTGGAGGCGGAAGTGGCAGGCGGCGCGGCTGGCCTTGAGGAGGTGGTGGTGGCGGGCGCCGGCGTGATGGGGAGGGCCTTGGCCTGGAAGGGAAAGAACGCGGTGATGGGCCGGCCCTGGCCGAGGAGAGGCTGCGATGTCGAGGCAGAGGCGGCAGGATGAGCAGCCACAGAAAAATCACAAATGGGCCTCGGGCGGATCGGGTCCTGCCACTGCGGTTGGTTTCGGACCACGTAGCTGGGGCAGGTCCGCTGACAAAGGAGTAGCCCTGCGGGGCCTGCGCGGTGACCGGGCGGAGGGACTCGAGGGAGGCGCGGCCTGGCTTTCACCTTCGGCGCCACGTAGTTGAAGGGAACCGCATGCGCCGCCATCGCCTGAGGACTTCGGAGCCGGGCAGCTTGGATCTCTTCGAGGATTAAAAAGCGAGGGTCCTCCCTTTGCATGAGGGCCAGCTCCATGGCCTGAGCGGCGGAGTCCTCCTGGAGCTGCTGGGAAATGAGCTGCTGAACCACCGTCGAATCCCCCTCGTCGGAAGCACCCACCACACTCAAAACGGGCAACGAAGGGGGATGGATCTCCTCTTCATCACTGGACTGATAGCACGCCAAACAAGTGATTCCACCAGAAGATTGATCGGCCGGGGGATCCGCAACTGAAAATTCCTCCTACTTGAAACGTACTGAGCCAGGGGGCCTGACATGGCGACTGCAGAAGCAGAAACGGGGCACCTGATCAGTGAGCCGAAAGCTGAGGCGAAGAGCGGAGCAAAGGCAAGAGCATCAGGCTGAACGAAAGGCGGGGCAGGTCTGAAAGACAGCACTGGGAGCCGGACTGTGGACCTGGCGGCAGAGAAAGCTGAGAAGAGGGAGCAACCTGAGGGCGAGACACAAAGCAGGGGGGCCGGTTAAGAGCTGGAGCCGGACCTTGGGGTACCAGAAGTGGGCAACGACAGCGGGAGGCAAAGGGCGGCTCCAAAGCGAGACTGTCAGGCACGTGCACGACACACCATGGGAGGCCCGGACGGAAGAGGAAGGAGGTGACCTGGCGGCAGGCGATGCAACACAAGCAAGGGGAAAAACCAACCCTAAAGAAAAAGGGGGAGAAATGAAGCCAAGTCACACTGATGGCCTGAGGACATGCATACTGAGGGCCTAACGAACATGCACCTGAGCAACGCACGAAATTTTGTTGGAGTCCGCCTTTGCAATGGGAGCAAACCGCGCCACATTGTGTCCTCCTTGTCGTGATTGCGGTGACTCTGTTTTCCGTTCACGCTGCTGGCTGTATTCCTCCTACTGGTGGACTGTCTCATCTGGGCGACATCTTCGAGTACACTGGTCTCATTGTGCAACACGCCCATTCTGTTCAGGCGCTTAGATTGGACAGGGCCTTTTGCTCTGCTTCCCCCTTTCTGAGGGGCCCAGTGGTCCGGGCACATTGCAGCCTTCTCTGCACATGCTGCCGCTGGCTGCCAACCGTCTGGTATTTGCGGGCCACAGCCCAAGTTCCTGCTACACATGCCCGAACGCCGGTCGTTTTCTTCGGTGCTTAGGAACATGTTAGTATTGCTCTCGTGTGCAATCTCGTTCCTCCATCGCTTTCGCTGGCCGTGACCTTGGGAACGTTACAAGAGTTTCCTTTGAGGACCATGATTGGGGCTGATGACTTCATTGAGGTCCGGTTGCCTCGACGCACCAAAGCCATCCCATTGAGCAACCTTATGCAGTCTATGCGTCAGGCCTGGCAGACTCTTTATGTAGGTCAGTCCCAATCTCGCTCCTTCTTTCAAGTGCGCAGCCTAAATTGTTTTTCCTATCTCTGTGATCTCCAAGTTGACTTCACTGTGGATGAATTTAGGACTGCGCATCATGGTCTCGACCTCTTTCAAAATGACTCCGACTCATGGGCCAGGCTCGGGGCTTTTGCTATCCAACGGCTGCTTGCCGTATATACGCAAGCATGTCCCTCCAACCTTCACGTTTGTACGTGGAATGTAACTAGCCTGGCTGCCCTTCCTAATCATCATGATAAACTAGCGCATATATGTGTGGGGCGGGTCAAAGGCTTCACTCTACTCCAGGAAGCCAACTGGAGCCCTTTTTCCAACAGCGAGGTGTGATTTTGGCCCGAAAAGGTGCTGATTATGCACCTTTTTTGGGCAAAAAACGGATTTTTCATATGGGTATAAGCCTTTCCTTACTACTCTTGCAACTTGGATGAGGATTGAATCAAAGTGGGATATTACTGACATTTGCGGGTGTACTGAAGTGTTCCGCTTGGCCACGCTAATTGCAGTGTTTGCGAACGCCCCCTTTCATTCACTTGGTGCGTGAGGCTGTGCATCCCTTCCAAGCGATATGGTATGACCGTCTGTCCTCTGTACGAGATCTGGGGCACCTGGAGCCGTTTTTTTTTTTCTCAGACCTGTGAAAGCGGAGACGCCGCCTTTTTTGCCCGCTACGGCAGGGGTGCATGATCGTTTGTAGTGAGAACCAGGTGTGCGTTGACTGGTGGGGGTTGATGGTATTCCATTATGATATGTGGTTGATGAGGACACTTTCAAGATGGTGAGCATTTTGTTCCCTCAAACCCGGCCATGGATTCATGTCTTTGTACCACGCGCTTCATGCTGATGAATGTATGACATTTCTTGTGGCGCTTCGTTTTCCGGCTTTCACCATGTTTCTGTTTTCCTGAGTCCATATGGGCACTCAACCCCTGTAGATTAGTCGACCGATATGACATGTGGAGTTTGCTGCTCAGCAACAGTTTCGTGTGGGCGTGGCCTTGTTTTGCATGGTGGGCTCTTCGGAGTCTTCGGGCGATTGGCCTGCTTGCTGGTTGCCCTGTTGAGATCTTCGCTTGGGGTTTTTAGTTCCCCCGTGTTTTTAATCCTGTTCGAATCTTCAGCCGCGTTGCCGTTTATGCTTCAAGCCTTTTCGAGGGACGTGGTTAGAGGGTTCGATCCCTTTTTCTGTTTTTTGAGCACTTCTGAGCAACGCCTAATAAAAAGAAGCAGAACGTTTCGGTCGGTCGGACTTGTGTTTCTTTTTATTGCTTGTTCCCTTTTGGCTTGAAACAGTGAACAGGATTCTAACTGCCTTATGGTCTGCCGGATTGTCACGAATTCACTTCTTGTACAGTTTGCTTAGGTTTTTCGACTTTGTAAATTTTGCTGACCGGCGATTAAGCATCAGGCAGCTAGGGGAAAGAAAGGAAATTCTGCTGACGTGTCTTTGGGTTTAGGTGATGCTCACATCACCTTTTCTTTTTTGGTAGGCTTTCAGTCTTTCTGCATGTTTTCGTGTCGAGCACAAACTCTGCCTTTGATACCGCCAGGCGACGGAACAGGGTTGCTTTTCTGCTCTCAGCGGCCTCTTTTTATAACCTCGGTTCGTTCGTAGTCTTTGACTGGGACTTGTAGTTATTTCCGCTTTGCTGACCTTGGTTCTTTGTTGCTGTGGCCCCCTTGGTTTTTTTTCTTGGGTTTTGTTTGTTGGGTCCACCCTTTGTTTGTTTCTGCTGGGCGGCAGCCTTGGATGAGATTTCACTTGGGCAGTGGTTCTTTGTCTCTTCCTTTTGTTTGCGTTGTATCTAGCAGACCGTCGTCACAACACAGGTTGCGTGGAACAATATATATATATATGTATCTATATATATTTACAACAACAATCCATACACCACAAAAGAATCCATCAGAGGTTCGCATACACACAGGGGACCCTTTTTATGGCATGTGTCCTTTTGGAATCCCTTTCGAACACTCCAAAAAGGGGTCTGCCATTTTGAGAAACCCCCCATATCGCCCACTTTTTGGGCTTCGGTGCAGCTTCTCTCCAAGCTCTTGAACGCTGAAGCGAGTCTTGTGCTCGGGGGAGCCCAGGTTGTGCGTAGCTCCTTTGTCGCTTTTCTGCCATTCAATTTGATCGTGGTCTTGGGGAGTGTGACGCATGGGCACATGGTTTGGACATGACAAATACAATCGCGAACAAGAACTGGTTTCGAACCATTTTGGGTGCATTTCTGCCTCAATTGGGCACATCCGGAGTAGCGCTCTGCAACTCCGCGATCTGAGTGCTTTGGCTCCTGCTGAAGTTGCTCCAAAGACTAACTTGGTCAAGCTTTCTTTTCAGTTGCGCACTTCACCATTGAAGGCGCCTGGATCTTGCCTTTCGTTCTTTCGCTTAGCGAGAAGATGCGAACCGTTTGCTTGTGCCATAACGCTTTCCACTTGCAATTGACCGCCGCAACCTGGTTGGGAGGATCTTCGAGGATCAGACTATTCAAGCAGCCTACAAAAGTCTGAAAGGACTGCCGCTCAAATCCAGCCGGTCTCAAGCGAAGCTGTCGCGTATGCTCAGGACTCTCTGAGACTTACTGGCTTTCAGCCCGCTTCAGGACCAAAGCATCGCTCTGTAGGTCTGTGCAGAGCTGACGATCAACTCCACATGCCTGAGCCTCCCCCGCCACTTCCTAGTTTCGCAACTAGTCTGCTGCGTTGCTTCCTGAACAGGACGGTTGAACTGTGAAAGGTCGGGTAATGAAATTCAGAAACGGCAAACATCATGATGCCTCGTCTGATACTCGTGCTGCTGACGCTAAGAGCCGTTTCTGGCTCAGCCATGTGGTGCGAACGATAGCGACATAGTCGGCTGGCAACATGCCAACATTGCCAGCAGTGCCAGCAGAGGACGCCGCAGAAGATGCAACAGAAGAGGTGACAGAAGTGAATGAAACGCCAGTGGAAGGCGTGGATCGTGGCGAACACTTGTTCTCGGAAAAGTTGTGCGTAGGAAGTGCGCGGAATTGCGTGCAGGTGCGACCCAATCCAAGAAAAAAGTTGTGGTGAAGGTGAAGAAAAAGAAGACCAAGGCGGGATATGATTCCGCCAGCTTCCACCGTACTAACTCTGCTTGCGCTGCTGCACTGCACATTTAGCCAAGTGCACAGCACGCAAGTTCAGTGCAGAGCACGCAAGACTCTAGCACTCTCAAAAGGTTGGGCACACTTTGCGGAAAGTGGAAAGCCATGCAGTCCTTTCGTGTCAGAGTAACTTCAATGCTCCTTGCAGTCGCCCACTGTTGAGACGAAGCTGGCAAGAAGGGACAATGAAAGGGCAAGCACACTGGACACTGCACCTGCATACAATTTGCCAAACCACCGCCTATGCACCCCCTCTCATGCAAGCAGCAGTTGCATGCATGTTACTTTCCTCGGAGACCCTGGATTTACACAAGGCTCCTTTGTTGAAATCATTCGAAGGTTTCGCCTGACACAACTCATACTTGAATATATCAGCAACGTTGACCTGACTCAACTTGGGAACAGGACATTCATTGATGGACATGCTGCGCAATTTCTTGGCATGTGTTCCTCTGGGAAAAAAATACAAGCACCGCGTTGCTGTGATGAGTCAGGCGGCCTCAACAGTCACTCCTGAAGCGTGCAAACTGCATGCTGAAAGCGTGCTGAAAGGGTGCTGGAAGACATGGATGGTTTTGCTTGTGACTTGCGAAGAAAGCCCTCAAACTTTCGTTGCATGTAGAATTTCAAGATTATTGGATGTCGTTCCTTGGGGAACTGGGACATTGTTCTCTGCATTCTCTGGCTCTAAGTCTACAAGTGACCATTGGGGGACTTTGAATGCGTTGATCGTTCATCCCTTGCGATGCAGTGCTGCGAGGCGCCCGCACCCGGAGAGAAAGAAGATGTGATCGTCGACCAAGTTGCGAGTCCTGAAACCACCGAGGTTGGGAAGGAGTCTCAAGTGGCCCCCGTTCTTGAGGTTCCTGAGCAGAAGGCTACAGCTGACGAGACCGGGTACGAAAACCCGGTGCAAGGGGCAGGTGCAGCAGAGCTGGTTACTCAACCTGTTGCACCAAAAGCTTCCTTCTTCAAGCTCTTTTCTCAGATGGATTGCCTAGAGCTGGTGGTTTTGACGGTGGGTCTCCTATGCTCGATGTGCCACGGAGTCGCGCAACCGCTCTTGGTCATTATCTTCGGTGACCTCATTGACGCCCTGGGTGGAAGCCCGGATGAGGTGCAACGGGAGACGGAGCGACTGTGTCTCCTGATGTGCGCCGTGGGAGGGGGTGCTCTGGTGGCGGCCACACTGCAAGGAGCCTCCTTCAAGGTCTTGTCCGACTCGCAGACGACGAAGTATCGGGTGATGTACTTCCAGGATGTACTGCACCAGGACGTCGCTTGGTTTGACACGAAGGAAGTGTCGGCCCTGTCGGCGGAGATCCAAGACGACTTGGCCAAGATCCAAGAGGCGTTCGGGGACAAGTTCGGCAACGGGGTCATGGCGCTATCTGCCTTCCTGGGCGGCTTCGCGTGCGCCTTTGGGCTTGGCTGGCTGTTGGCCCTCATCTTGTGCGCGGTGCTTCCCTTCATGGCGCTGGGGACCTACTTTGTGGGCGAGGCAGTGGCGCAGGTACAGATGGAGACGCAGGGCTGGTACGGCAAAGCCGCCTCCGTGGTGGAGGACTCGACTTCAAAACGAAACCAAAAGATCGGGTTCTTTGGACTCAAGTCACTTCTGAGCGGAGGGCGAACTTTTGGGCCGGTGAATACAACCAGTCTCTGCTTGTTTAGCGGTAAATACGCACATGTTGGTGGAAGATGTTATGGTAAAGACAAGGATCATCATGGAGTCACCACCAGTTTCCTCATCTTGCAGTGGTAAACCCACACACTTTCAGTTGTAAATCCCATGGAGACGTTTTGCATCGCCTGGCGCATGGCGTCCCCGGCTTTTTGGGGTCTGCGTTTTTTTCCGCCCGCGGCCGCGCCTCGCCGCGATGGCGTCCCCGTGGCCGCGAGGAGTGCCTCCACGGCATGCGCACCGTGGTGGCCTTCGGCGGCGAGGCCAAGGAGCTGGAGACCTTCTCCCAGGCGGTGGCCCAGACCCGGCGGGGCGGCATACGGAACGGCCTGCGCATCGGCTTCGGCACCGGCCGCTCGGAAAAAGAAAGAAAGAACCAAAAAGACGTGGTGAAAGAAAAACCGGGCAGCGCGAGAAGAAAGCTGGCCGGCTGGCCCGTTTTTTTTGTTTGTTTTTTTCTTCTTTCTTTTGTTTTCAAAAAAGCTGAAAAGCTTGTGCTTGTTTTTGTTGGTTTTTCCCTCTTGAGTGAAGCTGTTGGGGAATTGAACTCGACATTGAGTTTGGGAGGTGGTGCATTCTTTGCATACAACCGTAAGCATAGGTGTCCTTTTTAGGCTAGTTTGGTTAAAAATAGAAGGTACTGGTTTAGATGGGTTTTATTCTATTTGCCAGTAAAACCCATCTATTTCTCCAAAAGGACACCTATGGCCGTAAGGCTACTCGTGGTTTGTGGAGTATTCCAACTATGCCCTGGCCTTCTTCGCGGGACTGAGCTTCGCCTACAATGGGGACCTCAACCCAGCCACTGGTGAGCCCTGGAGAACGGGCGATATCATGTCCATCTTCCTGTGCATCTTCATCGGCAGCTTCATGTTGGGCCAGATCGACCCCAGCATCAAGGCAGGTTGTCAGTGGTCAAGCTGCAGAAATTAACCGATGGGTTTCAGGGCATCTTTTTTGGAGGGGTCTTTGAGCATCTTCTGGATTCAATATATATATATATATATTACATAGATATATAGTTATGTACATATGCGTTTTCAGTCTTGAACCACTTGTTGATTTGGCGGTGGGAGCAGCAAACTGCACAAATCAAGAGCGGGAGCTAGTCCTGATGTTTCCGTCTCAAGAAACGAGCCTTCTTCCCCTTTTTTGAGGCCAAGCCACTGTGAGATTCTCTGGATCTGAAGAGGGCTTTCGTGTAGGCGGTTTTCAGCGTCCCTGGGGAGACGGGTTGCTCCCCAGTTTTCTGGCTTAATGGTCTCTTCTGGATGCATTCGTCCTTCGGTTCCAACGCAGCTCCCTGAGATCAACACAAGTCCAAAGCCATCTGCCACGTCGTTTCGTGTCGATCCAGGCCTTCCAATCAGCTCAGATGGCGGGAGGTCGCTTCTTTCAAGTGCATGATGCAAAGCCTGCCATTCAGAGACGAGACGAGGATGAGAGGTGGGAAGCTGTGGGAAGCTATGGGAAGCTCTTTCTCGATGTTTCCCTCCGTTCGAACTGTGGAAACCCCAGTCTTTTGACCAGGCAAGAGTTGCGCAGCATCGAGAGCTTCGCATTTGACCAAGTGCACTTCTACTATCCGGCGCGGCCCAGCGTGAAGATCTTGAACCTTGGTGGCTCATCCCCTTAGCCTTTTGGATCCCTTTGGATTGTGTTCCAGTTTTTTCATTGCACCCACCCAAAGTTCGTCCAACTCTTCGCCTGGAGCAGACAACGGGCACGGGCCCAGGAACGGGGTGTCCTTGAGCCTCCGGCGGGGCCAGAAGGTCGCCTTCGTGGGGGAGTCCGGCTCCGGGAAGAGCACCATCATGGCGCTGCTGGAGCGCTTCTACGACCCCAGCGCCGGCGTGGTCCTTGTGGACGGCCAGGAGCCATGCGGGTGTCCTTTTTTAGTGTTTATTTTTTTGCTCGGAAAAGTCGATGGCGATTCCTGTTTTTTTTTGTGGTTTTTCGCGCAGCAAAATCGCCGTTTTTTGTTTTTGTTTTTCCCGCTCAGCCAAATACATGGTGATTCCTGGTGTTTTGGTGGCGATTCCTGGCGATTTGGTTGTTTTGGCTAGACAAATAGATGGTGATTGCTGGTTTACCGGGTGGTTTTTGAATGATCTACCAGGGAAACCCATCTATTTCCTCTAAAAGGACACCTGTGGCCAGGACATGCGGAAGTTCAAGATCGGCTCCGTGAGGCGCTGTATCGGCTACGTGGGTCAGGAGCCGGTGCTGTTCTCCCAGTCTATTCGGGCCAACATCATGCAGGGGAATCCGGAGGCCAGCAAGGAGCAGTTTCATGGTTGTTGTTGGGAAACATTTTACATTTTTGCAAATTGTGGTTTAGTGGTTGAAATCCCCACTTAACTGCTATAATTTATAATTTAAATTTTTGCTCCCCTTCCAACGTCAACCAAGGTTTCAACAGGCCTGCGCCGACGCTCAGCTGGGCTTTGTGGACAACTTGCCGGAGAAGTACAACACCTTCGTGGGAGATCCTTGGGCCTAAAGAAAAACATGGCTGTGGGTCAAAACCAATGGTACCATGTTGGGGTAGGTGTACCGCCCATTTTAGTCTATTTTAGTGGGGATTGGGATGTTCATTGGGGGTACGGGATTTGACACATTTCGTTTCAGTTTTGGGGGAGAGATCAAGATTTGAGCCACTAGCTCAAAACCCGGTCAACACCCGGGTAGATGATCCGGTTAGGAAGGGGCAGTCCCAGCCAGAAAAAGTTGCGGCCGCCTTCTTGATTCCTGAAGCATGGTTCTGGGTAGACCATTTAATACCGGGGTTTAATTGTGACTCATTTAATCCACGCTCCCAGACCAAAGGTATGACGTCACGCAAGCAGAGGTCACACAAACACAGGACATGAATGTACAGCTGGCATCCACAACACGGTTCCAAGATGCTCCAAATTAGCCAATGTACGAAAATGAGCGGTGCTAACCGGAAGTGGCAAGTATATTTGAGAAGGCTAGAATTCCAAAACATACCCTTCCTCCCACAAACATAGCATGTGGGAGGGTACCTGGAAGATGAATTTCCTTTTCAAAAAACCCTCAGGTGCCATGTTAGTCGGAGTGAGGGTAATCGCATCTTTCCAGAATGGTTTTAACGCTTCTTCAAGCCCTCCCGGTCGTTTTACGGCTCCGCGGCGAGAAGCTCGCACGGAGGCCGGCGGTGGACAGCTGTCGGGTGGGCAGAAACAGCGCATCGCCTTGGCCCGCGCCCTGCTGAAGGAGAGGTTTGCTGAGTCGAGCGAACAAAAAAAACACGAGCCAGCCGGTTTCGCAAGAGAGGGCTGCCAGGGCCTCTGTGTTCAGTCCCTCCAAAGCGAATGTTTTGGAGGGGAAAGATCGGAGTGAACGGGGACGACTCGACGACTTATCCGCGCGAGGAAGCTTCCTTTCTCTTCTTGGATGAGGCCACGAGCGCGTTGGACAACACCTCTGAGAAGATGATCCAACAGAGCCTCGGAGGGAAGACAGACTGGGCGTCCAAACAACCTGGACCTGAAAGAGAGAGTTCCTGGATGTGTTAGACATGACATGCTTCAAGGGACCCTTTCTTTTAGTTGAGATCAAATTGGAAAGACTGGGCTTTCGATGGGTGACGAGCCCTTTCAAGCAAGGACCATCGACAGCATCAGCAACAAGAGTGAAGGCAGTCGCTTGGGTATCGTGAGCATTGCCCACCGCTTGAGCACCGTCCGAAACTCTGACCTGATCTACGTCTTGAGCAGGGGCGAGGTGCGTTTCTTTCTTGGAGAGCAGAGACGTCCACATGTAGGTTTGATGAAACGTGAGATGCAACAAGGATTGAGGGTTTCTCCCAGATAGCTGAAGGCTATAGGGGTTCTGGCGTCTCAATGATTCGGTGGCTGATCGGCGTTTTGGTCCACCGCCGCAACACCTTGTCTATCCAGTTGTCTCCTTGCGGGTCTCCCCACTTGCCCGCCTGTCTGATTGGCGTTCTGTTGGACCCACTTGTGGTCGTTGGAGGCTCTCATGATGTTCTTGGTGCAGGTGCTTCTGTTTATTTTTTTTTGAGCTGCCTGCTATTTGGGGTCTATGCCGGTGTAGTTTGGATGTATGCATTGAGCAAGGAAGCCTATGTCTGTTTTTTTGTGGGTTTCGGACATGTTTGAAGCTGGTTGCGTTGCTTCCAGGTGGTCGAAGAGGGCAACCACGAGAGCCTGATGAACCGCAAGGGCGTTTACTACGCACTGGTTGCCGCACAAGAGTCCTCGGAGAAGGCGGGCGAGGATGAGCCGGAGATCCCCCACCAGCAAACCGTGGCCTTGATGAGGCAGCGTTCCGGGGAGAGCGATGAGTCTGAGCTGGCGCGCAAGCAGCGGGAGAAGAAGGAGGAAGAGGATCGTCTGAAGGGTATTAATGACAACTACAAGGTGCGGTAGGGATCTGAGGCCACCCGTAAGCCTCCGCCCCACCTTTCTCCTAGTTGAACGGGTGCCAAAGCCAGGGTTCCACTTTTTGACTTCCCCAGAATACTTGTAAACTTCAACCCAGGGGTGGTTCATTCCCCCAAAAAGCAGCTCCCCTGGGTTTTTTGAGTCAAGATCTTGGCGTCGTCAAAAGTGGACCCAGCTGCGCTGTTCAGGTGCCCATGTCTCGGCTCCTGAGCTACAACCAGCCGGAGTGGGCCTTCTTCGTGCCTGCCATCCTGGGGGCCTTGATCGAAGGCGCGGCCATGCCGGTGTGCGCCGTGGCCCTGGTGGGGTCCATGGACGCCTTCTTCAAGCTTCAGGTGCCGGCAAGCCGAGAGGAGGCCTGGTAGCTGGCCGGGGGCTGGTAGCGGGCGAGTGCTGAACTGCTATGGGGTTGGATCTTTATGGGAAATCAACAGGTTTTACACGAAACCCCCAGAAAGTTAAACCTTTTGCAGGGGGGTCAACAGCAACCAAGAGTGGTGGAGTCGATTGGGAGTTGGGGAGACTGATTCAGCAAGTGGATTGGTCAAGTTCTCTGTTGGAGGGTTGGTGAAGTCCACAAAAGTCTCAGCCCACAGAAGGATTCGCCTTGGAGAATTCAACAAGGGACCGAATCTCCATGGTCTTCCCCTGTGACACTGATCACTACAGTGGGAAAAAGAGCGATGAACAAGCTTGTAAAGGAGGTCCGGAGTCCCAAAAACTGTTCCGAGGCTCGAGAAGACATCCTCTTCCTGTGCTTTGTCTTTCTGATCATTGCGGCCTCCGTCTTGGTGGGCTGCGTCATCGAGCACGGCAGCTTCGCCATCTTGGCGGAGTCCATGACCTGCCGGCTGCGGGTGGCCATCTTGAAGGCGATCTTTCGGCAAGAGATCGGCTTCCACGACGATCCGGAGAACACCCCAGGCCCGGAAGGTCTCCAAAGCGTGAAAGACCTGTCCACCAGGTGAACGCTTGCCGAGGTTTTGTTTCGCTTTTGCTTTCAACCACCATGTGGGTGTGTCTTGAAAGGCCTGACTGCAACAACACCCCACCCGCTTTGTTTCTTCCACGCGCAACCCCACGTGCAACCCCAGGCATGATGTCCAAAGCCTTGGAGATCTGGGCCTTCCGCGTGAGCACTCTGTGCAAGTCCATAGGTGCCAAGGCGGCGGCCATGAGCTCTGTCCTGGTGGGTCTCGTCATCGCCTTCGTCTACTGCTGGCAGATGGCCCTGGTGATGCTGGGCACCGTGCCCATCATGGTGGCTGCCAACGCGGTGCAGATGCTGGTCATGCTGGGCGCCTCGAAGGTGGACAACGAGGGGATCAAGCATGCGGCGCAGGTCGTGAGCGATTCCGTTATGAATGCACGCACGGTGCAAGCCTTGAATGTTGAGAGGAACCTGGTGCAGATGTATGCGAGCTTGGTGGGGAAGTCCACTGAAGGCATGTGGAGGCGGAACTTCTTGGCTGGGCTTGGCTTCGGCATTGCCTCTGGAGTCATGTTCTTTGTCATTGCTGGAGGCTTCTATTATGCTTCGGTCCTCAGGAGGGAGGGTGTTGCCACCTTTAGTGATACCATGATGGCCTTCATGGGTGTCTTCTATGCTGGCTTGGGCGCCGGGCAGTCGGCGGTCTTCATCGGTGATGCGGCGAAGGCCGAACCTTTTTGTGTGTCGGATTGGCGAGTTGGTGAGCTGGTCAGGGGTTCCGAGCCATTTCCTTTTTTGGAATCTTGAATAGAGGCAGTTGCCGTGGAAACCACCAGCAAATTGGCATTTTTAGAGAGGGACATCTAGTGACTCCTGTTGGAAGGATGAAACCCCAATAGGCACCTCTGTCGCAGGCTGCGTGACGCCAAATCTCCCTCTATGTAATTGCAGCCCTGGGTGTGGCTTTTCCCCGAACCCAAACTTCCAGGTTGAAACGCATCACGACAACTTTCCAACATAGGATAGCAGCACGCCTGGCAAAGCGCCGTTTTGGTGAGGCCAAGGTGGCTTGCCACGACATGTTCAAGCTCTTGGACCGCGTCTCCAAGATTGACGGCATGGAGCCCAAGGGAGAAGTGCCCACTGCCTTGGAGGCTGGCGCCATCGAGTTTGAGAACGCCAGCTTGGCAGCGGAATTAGACGTCTTTCTTTTTTTCCTGAGTTCTTCCGTCTTTGAACTTTTCGCAGGGATTGCAAGTCCCTTTGCCAATACAGCGTGTAACATACACATACAAATACAAATATACATACACATTTGCATACACATACATATATACATATATATATATATATATACATATGTGGGTACACTATATATATATAGTACCCATATATATGTACCAGTCCCTGGGCCACGTACCCCCCCCCCCCCCCAATGGTATGGTCCCCCCACTCCCCCGCATCATCCGCATCTTGGGGATGATGCTGGCAATGCTGGGGATGCTGTCCAGTACCGTGCGAGCCCTGCAGCTTCGGTCCCAGACCCCCTTTCACCCCGTGAACCAACACCCCCGCACCTCTCGCAACATCCTACCCTAAACCAAACCACCCTTTAACCCTAAGCCTACATCAACCCAAACCCCAAGCCCACCCGAAACCCACCGCAAACCAACCCTGAACCAACCCTGAACCAACCCTAAACCAACCCACCAAGCCTCAACCAACTCCGAACCACACCCCAACCACCCAACCACCCCACCACCCCACCACCCCACCACCCCACCACCCACCACCCCACCACCCCACCACCCCACCACCCCACCACCCCACCACCCCACCACCCCACCACCCCACCACCCACCCCACCACCCACCCCCCCACAGGGGGGGGGGGTTGGCCCAACCACCCAACCACCCAACCACCCCCCCACCACCCCACCACCCCACCACCCACCCACCCCCCACAGGGGGGGGGGGGGGGGGGGGGGGGGGGGGTAATACATACATACACCTACTACCTACCTATACACCTACCTACTACATACATACATACATACATATACATACATACATACATACACATACATACATACATACATACATACATACATACATACATACATACATACATACATACATACATACATACATACATACATACATACATACATACATACATACATACATACATACATACATACACATATATATATATATATATATATCGTGTATGTATATATATATATATATATATCCATATAGTTCACACAGATTCCTTGTTGCGGGTTCAAAGGTGAAGTTCTTCTACCCCTTCCGACCAGCAATCCAAGTGCTCAAGGGCGTGAGCTTCAAGATTCGCCAGGGGCAGGCAGTGGGCTTGGTGGGGCCTTCTGGAGGCGGCAAGAGCACGGTGATGTCTTTGATTCAGCGTTTCTACGACCCGCAGGACATCTATCTCTCCACCCGGAAAATCGGTTGCGAGTCGCCACGGATGTCGAGTGTTTTTGGGAGGGAAGCGGAAGGAGGCGGAATCTCTGTTGAGTCTTGCCATCGAGTCCGGACGGCAAAAGCCAGACGCCGGACGCCCGGAAATGGAACGGGTCACCTGGGATCCTGGGTCGCCGGAAGCTCGGAAGTCCCTGTCCTTCGATTTCGAGTCGTTTTGACCGCGCAGCGGTCAGCGGTCGATCCGGCTGCGTTGCGGGTTGCGCAGGAGGGATCCGTCTACGTCGGTGAAGCCCGAAAGCCGCTGGCGGAACTGAACATTCGCTGGTGGCGCCAGCAGATCGGGTTTGTTGGGCAGGAGCCAGTCTTGTTCAACACTAGCGTGCGGAACAACGTCCTCTATGGTGTGGAAGGGGATGTGGATGAGGAGTACATCAAGAAGTGCGAGAAGATGTGCAACTTGAAGTTCCTCTACACGCCTCTTTGATAAAGTGAGTAGTTCTCTTATGTCCGACAGTTTGAAGCTCTAAACAAGCGTTTTCTCAAGCACAAGGCTTTTCATCGCGCAGGAGCCCGCTCGCAGTTTGAAGAACAGACTCGAAAATACTTCCATCTTTTCCACTCGAAAAGACTTCCATTTGTTTTTCCTGAAAGGTCGAACAGCTGAGCATGGCCCATCTCGGTTCTCCATCCGAGCACCCTTGTTGCACCCGGCCTCGGACTCTTTGGCCGTGCCGGCACGCACCGCGTGACGTGCGACGCGTGACGCGTGACGCCGAGGTCCGGCAATCAAGGCCTCGCCACGGAGGTGGGCCCCCGCGGCAGCCGTTTGTCCGGCGGGCAGAAGCAGCGCGTGGCTATCTGCCGCGCGCTGATGCGGAACCCGGCGGTGATGCTGCTGGACGAGGCGCGGGCGCGCTCGCGGCAGGTTCTTTTTTTGGGAGAAAACGTGTTTCTTTTGGCTGGACGAGGCGCGCGGGGCTTTGTTGGAAAAAGGGTTTCTTTTTTTGCGGCACCGAAACTAGTCTTGCGGCACCGAAAGTTTCGGTGCCGCAGACTCCTGCGGCCCTTGCGTATTTGGAGACGGCGAGGGTCGACCCACATATTTTGCCGCCCTTGCATGCTCCTGCTGATGCGAATGGGGAACTCTCCATGCAACAACCCACCCTGAATGATCCCAAAGCATGGGCGCTGTTGCCTTGAAAGAGTCACACAAAGATAACAGGACTTGTGCCAAGTGGGACGTGAGAATGATGGTAAAGTCGAGGACTTGCTAGGTCCACTGCCAAATTGTCAGGGCATGTGAGCATGTAAAAAAATGCGACGTCTAGTTTGCGGCTGTTGGCTTAGCCACATGCCATGAGCACTTTGCAAATCGAACAACTGTGTTTGTACGCATATAGGCGTCCCTATCTGCATGCGAAACCATGGGCGTCTTAGTTGGCCAGGGACCAATCGTTCGTGCACTGAGCCCTGAATTGTCCTGAGTTCTGCTCTTTGTGTGCATGGAAAAGAGCCTCTCAGGGGTCGCTCGTTTTCGCCCAGGAAGGTCCCTTTCATGCTGTTGACATAAGGTGTCCTTTTTGGTTGGTTTGCTAAAAAACAGAGGGCCCTGGTTTACCTGGTGGCTGAATCATCTACCAGGGCCATCTATTTTCCAAGAAGGACACCTACTGTGGATGGACGAAATCCATTCGCACCACTTGGAAACCATGGTTGAAACTATTGTTTATGGGTATTTCCCGGGGATTCATAATTCCAGGGTTTCTTGGGTGGTGCGAAATGGATTGCATGTTGGGACATGCTGCTTCTTCGCGGCTTCGCGCGTTTCTTCTCTCAGGCCACCAGCGCTTTGGACTCTCAGAGCGAGGCCATCGTCCAGGAGGCGCTGAACGCGGCGCGGGAGGGCCGGACCTCCTTCGCCATCGCCCATCGCTTGTCCACCATCGAGGGATGCGACGCGCGGGCCCTGGATGGATTTAGGTGTGGGAGGTGGGAGGTGCCGGAGAGGGGCGGGGGGGTTGGGAGGCTTGGGGGATGGGTTCCAAGTCTTGTCTGTAGCTCGTGAATGCAGAGCTTTCTATTGTTCGTTGTGCAGTGAGGTGATCTTGGTGAACGCTGATGGGCGCGTGGTCGAGTCTGGCACACACGCAGAGCTTATGACTTTGAAAGGGGTCTACTACAAGCTGCAGATGCAATCCCGCAAGTAGCTGGAGCCGTAGAATCGCTGAACTTCAAGACTCGCCATGTTGGATGGAAGAAATCCCTTGAACCGTGCATTTCTGCAGTATGTTAGACTAGCAACAGCAACTGGTTCAGGATTTCTTTCATTAGATTTCAGGGTATCTTCCGGTTTGGAGGTGTCCCAATTTGCACTCGAACTTCTGGTGGCAGCTGGCCTTGCCTGCTTGCCTCGGCCAACGTTGAGAGCGAGTTTCTCCCGCCAGAAAGTGCACGAAGAATCAGTAGACTGGTTCAGAATTAGTAGACTGGTTCAGGGCTTGTTTCATCAGATTTCGGGGCATCTTCCGGTTCGGAGGAGTCCCACTCTGCATTCATTTTTTTCCGGTGGCGGCTGGCCTTGCCCTGGCACATGCTGAATGCGCAACACGGCGAGGTTTTTCTCTGCCAGAAAGTGCGCGGAGACTCTGCGGACCTCCAGATGTGACACTCCAAGGCCATTGTTTGCTGCATTTGTGCCAGTTCAACTTCACCAGACACCGGTGAGTTTGGTGCAATGCTGCTTTCTGGAGAGCTTGGAGTTTCTCTGGTTCGGAGGTGCTCGCTGCTTTTGAGTTTTGGTGCGCAGTAAAGTACTGCGCGTTTGGTGCAGGGTAGGATAAACCCGCACGCCGATGGCGCAGTTTTCCGTGGAATCTCCATGGGAGCTCGCAGGCAAAGGGCTCTGCGGGTCGCCACTTGTTGTTCGTGTCCATTCCGCGGGAGCACTGCACATCACAGCAACTAGTATGCAAGTATGTTGGCTGATATCGTGCAGTCTATGACTAATGCTACATGCAATCACACATATACACATATATACTGTGAATATGTATATATATATGTATATATATATATATACACATGTTAGTGTAAACAGATGAGCAATGTAACAAGCTCAGATCCTGCAGTGTGCTTTTTTGCTCTGCGCCTCACCTCACAAGCTATTGCCTGCTTTGAAGCGATGGTTGACGACTTTTGTATGAGGGTCGGCTTGCCGTTGCGAAGAGGCGACAGATCAAGAACTCTTGCTGTTTGCGGTCAGGTGGATTCATGCCGTGGAAATCCCAAGCACGACCCCAGGTAGATCCAGCCATGATCGAGACCAGGCATATCATTGGGAGTGGTCTGGCCAGTCGTCGCCTGATCCCTGTCCCTTGAGCCATTGTGGCCCAATGCTGAGGTCTCAATGCACAAGCGTTTTTATTTCCTTCATCTCATGTCCGCAACGCAGGGCAATGCCATACGAAAGCTGAACTGAGCCATGTGAGGCGTGCATCAGTTCTTCGTTAAAGGGGGCGGGTTTCTTACGAACTCGAGAACTGCAGACTTGCAACAGATCCGTTGGCTTTTTGGGTCTTTATAAAAGCCGAAAGGGTCCATCAGTTTCTCCGATTGGGTCCTGCCATGGGCTTGTCCTGCTCGGCGGTCTTTCACCCCGAGCTGTCCAAGCAGGCGCCATGGATTTCACGATTCCCTGTAGGTGAGCGCAAAGGACACGACGCACACGTTGGCATGAGTCCCTGTGGAGAACGACTGAACCACAATGGGGAGGAATCCCGTCTAGAATTCACCCAACTGTTGGCTCTTCATGCAAGTTTGCCAGGGTTGACCAAGCAAGGGTAGATTCGGGGCTGTGATTTCCTTCATTCAGGGTACTGTATTCTTTTTGGCCTTTGTTTGGTTGCCCTCTCATCATGGAACCTGAGAAGGGTTCGTGGTAGGCCGTTTTGTCCTTTCGCAGGGACCTTCTCTTGTGTTCCATGTTTCTTGTGCAGTCCATGAGGGTCAAGAGGCCGGATGTTGATCCGAAGTACAGCTTTCGATTGAGCCACAATCAAAACCCAGGTGGATGAAGGTTAGTAAGGGAGAATCCCAACCATAAATAGCTGCGGCCGCCTTCTTAATTCTTTACATGGTTCTGGGTAGATCATTTTAATACCGTGTTTTGATTTTGACTCACTTGCGGCTTCCTTTTGTTCATGGTGCGCGCACTTTCCTCAGGCTGACATTTTTTCCGCTTGAGCCAGCCACGCGCTTTGCGGAACGAGTGCCGGGGAATCTGGCGGATGTTCGATTGAATGCGCCAAGCATTGGTCGGAGATCCTTTTTTCCAGACCAAATCCCTTGGAGTAGAAGAGGCCCCCTGTGCAGAAGTTGCCCAACCTGGAAATTCAGTTCAAGGGGCACCTTCGCCCGGGTTTTATTTGGGGTCCTTTCTTCCAGAAAACCCGCAACCCACCCTTGGGCCCCTTTAAGGAGGTGCAATCCACTTACCCGGCAAATGCTTTCCCCAAGTTTCGCTGGGTCTTATCCCAAGGTGCTTGAACCCGCGGCTCGAATTTCCCGAAGTCTCGCGAGTCGCGACCGAGGCGTTGCAGCGCCCCGAGCCGCCGGAGTTGCATGGTCACCTGGTGGTTCTGAGCCTCACGGATGATGCCCCAGAGACGGCCGGGAAGTTCGGAGTTCTGGGCCTACAGACTGAAGTTGAAAGCATTCTTGCTGTTCTCGTTCTTTTGGGATTTGGCTGGGGGTGGCGTTTAGGTTCCGTATTTGCTTAGAGGACCCACGATTGAAACTTTGAAGTGATGGCCTGACAGTGGCCAGCCCCTTGGAACAACATAAACTCGCCTGTTCCATAGAACCTGATAGGTGAGGAAGAAGCTCTGCTCTCCGCAGCCTTGCGACAACCGGATCCTCTTGAATGCCGCCAATGAAAATCAACCTGAGCTGCAATCAAACCCTAGATAAAGGTTATGGGAGAATCCCAATGACAAATGGGTGCCTTCGCCGCCTTGTTAATTCCGTGCATGGTTCTGGGACCATTTGAATACCAGGTTTTCATGTTCTGCCTCACCTGGGGTTGATTTCCAAAAGCTCCAGCCGTTGAGCGTTTCAATGGAAACCACCCGCAAATTGATCAGCTGTTGATTCGGGGGATTCTCGGATTCCAGTGACCCCTGTCATTAAACTCAGCTGGAAGCTGGAAGCTAGACCAAGACACATGATTGCTTGCGTGACATTTTGTGTCCGGGGGTTGTTGATTTCGCACTGATTCAGAGCCATAGCAAAGAGAGGAATTACAGATTAGTCACTATGCGTGACCTTGAATCTGAATGGAGCCGTAAAGGAGTGCGGGCCATGTCCTTCCCGTTGCTTCCGATTTGTGACCCTTCACTCTCTCTTCGACAGGTGCGACTCGAGGGCAGCTCTCAGGGAATTGTCAATGAGGCTTCCACCGTTGCTATAAGAAATCCAGTTGTGCGCTTTGGAATTGCAGACCTCCCAAAGTCATCAGGGTTCTGTCCCACTTTTCGGTGGAAGGCAATCTATTTTGTCTCAAACAAAACCCAAAGCGACATCTTGTCTGATGTGTGTTTATTTTCCCCCCCAGATAGCTGAAAGCCATGGGGGTTCCGACTTCGAATATGGAAGGGAACATGATTTGCAAGATTGACAGTAGGTGCTGTTTAGGGTGCTGTTTGAGCAGCTGGTGACTGTGCCTTTGCGCACTTCTGCAAGATTGACGATAAGGTGCTAGGGGCATGCAGTCTGGGCTGCTGGCGCAGGTGTTGGTTTTGGGATGCTGTTTGGGGCGCTGTTTGAGGTGATGGTGCGGGCGCAGTTTTTGCCAGATGGGAGTGCTGTTTGGGGGTGCTGTTCGGGGTGATGGCGCGGGCCGTTTGGGGTGCCGGCGCAGGTGGTTGGGGGGGCTGGTGACGGGCGGTTGACGGCGGGGTACTGGGGGGCATGCAATTTGGGGATTCTCGTACAGGTGCTGTTTTTGGGATGCTGTTTGGTTGACGTGCTCTTCGGGCAGTGCCGTTAGAGGTGCTGGCGTGTCGTTGACACGTGTTTCGCTATCTGGGTCTATGCTCGTGTAATTCAATGTAGTTCAAGTATGAAACCAACACCCCCAAACCACCCCCAAACCTTATCTGGAGTAAAAAACCCCTTAGCTTTCAGCTGGCGTAACAAAACCGGGGCAAGCCCTCCAGATCACCGCCGAGCTGGGCCTCCTCATCTCCCGGCAGCACGCGCCGAAGCCGGCGGCGCCGAGCCGCGGGCCCCCGCAGCTCACGCGCTTCCTGAGTGCGGCGCCTGCGCCGTCGCTGCCTACAGGCGTGCGCACAGGGAGGGGGTGGAATGGGACATATGGCCAAAACCTGACAGCCACTCTGCAAAGGTGGTGTTTTGGTCCTGTTTTTTTCGGAGCACAGAGTGGCTTTGTAAGTTTGTCTGAGTCTCTTACAGTCCGTTCGGGGACTGTTGAAGGGAAGCCAGAGAGACCTGATTTTGGGTATCTCCCTTTGGCACGTACCCAAACGCTGTGAATTTTAATACGGGGACCTTGAGTGGACCTCAGCAATCAATCATCTCTAGTAAAACTGGTAGCTCAGCTGAGAGCGTTCCCTATTAAGTGTCGTGGCCACATGCCCGTTGCCCACAAGGAGGACCCTAACTGGTGGTTTGTCCCCTATGTTGGCACACGCCCAAATGGGCAAAAGCCCGTTGGGTATGCATTTGGGTATGCCATGCAAATTAGTTGGACCTACTTTTCGGAGCAAGATTTCAGCATGAGCCGCTTTTGAGGGACGGTTTGTGGAATCGTAAAGCAGTTGGCTCGCGCAATACCTATGAAGAAAGCTCAACGTTTGTGCTTATCTGAGTTGCGGCAGCCAGGTTTTTTCTTGGCACATCCGCATTCCTTTGCTTGATTTTTTGGTGTGTTGGTTCATTGTTTTGCTGGATCTTATGTCATTTTGATTTGTTCCCTAACGTAATTCTATTTGCCGGACCAAAAGGGAGCCATTTGGGGAGGGTTCAGGTTGATCTGAGAACCGCGATGTCAGGCAAGCCGAAGCTACAAAGGCTCACCTCCGAGGGCACGTGGGGAGCTCAGTCCTATATTTTGAGATTTGGCTGTGGGTGTTCAAGCAATGGGATCCCATTTTGGGGTAGGTGCACCACCCATTTAGTCTATTTTAGTGGGGATTGGGATGTTCACTGGGGGTACGGGGTTTTGACCCATGGCCATATTTTGAGACTTGGACCCCAAACTCTCGCATATCTGAGGCTTCTTGGTTCGCATGTGGGTGAGCAGTGAGCTGCAACTGTCGGCCGAAGCATTCCCCCCCCCGATCAAACTCAACCTCTTGTTTGTTGCAGGAATTGGGTTCCCATTAGTCAGGTAGCCTCTAGTCGGTGGCTTGGATTGGTGGTTTAGGGACTTGAAACCTTGGCGTTTGTGGAGGGGAGGTGGGAAAAAAGCCGCACCCCTGACGATTAAACCACCACTCCAAACCATCAATCAGTGGGAAGCTCAATCAGAGCGTGTTTTGGGCAGAATTGTTCGGATCGCGCTCTTGACTCGAGGCGTTCTGGCGCTGAGGTGGGGGGTAGCCCTGCGGGTGGGCCGTGGAGTTTTTGCTGTAGTGAGTTTGTCGCAAAAATAGGGTTCCCTTATTTTTCAGACACACC